GCTCTTCATTAGTTGAATAAAAACTTATGCATCTCTGATTCAGTTAGTTTGTAAGGTGCACCTCTTTTGGTTATATTTATATTACCATTAAAAGTTATCTGCTACCCCAACTACGCATTAAATTGCTACACAGGATATTACCGAATATTCAACTATTTATCTCTCTTTACTCTCACACCTTGCCTTCCATGACCATTTCCAAAAATATAATATATTGTGAAGAAATATATTATAAAGAGATTATTTGCTCACTCTATCAAATGAAAGCCTGAACACAGATAGGACTTTGTTCACCAACATCTTTGGTGCTCTTATAACTGTCATGAAAAAATTATCAACTGCTGAAGCAAAAGAAGTCTTTCAGGGGTAGTTACAAGAAGGTATCCCATTCCCACAGCATGGTAAATTATGACTGGAATGAATGCATCTATGCATCTAAGCAAGCTATTTGATATGAACCAGCTAATCAGGGGAGAAGAGTAGGAGGAGTTGCACTTTATGTAAAAGCGCCATATGATTGCTCAGAGCTCCAGTATGAAACTGGAGATAGGCGTATTGAAAGTCTCTGGGTTAGGGTTAGAGGGGAGAGCAACAAGGGTGATGTCCTGGCAGGAGTCTGCCATAGATTACCAGACCAGGAGGAAGTGGCGGATTAGGTTTTTTTCAAACACCTAGCATAAGTTTCCTGATCACAAGCCCTAGTTCTTATGGGGGACTTTAATCACCCTGACACCTGCTGGGAGGGCAATACAGCAGTGTGCAGACAATCTAGGAAGTTTTTGGAGAGTGCTGGGGACAACTTCCTGGTGCAAGCACTGGTGTGGGCAACTAGGGACTATGCTCTTCTTGATCTGCTGCTCACAAGTAGGGAAGAATTGGTGGAGAATATAGTAGATGGCAACTTGGGCATCAGTAACCATGAGATGATTGAGTTCAGTATCCTGGGGAAACGAAGGAAGGAAAGTAGCAGAATAAGGACCGTGGACTTCAGAAAGGCAGACTTTGACTTGCTTAGGGAATACATGAGCATGATCCCCTGGAAGCTAGTCTGAGGGAGGAGGAACCCAGGAGAAGAAACATTACTGAGAGTGCAGGAACAAACCATCCCAATGTACAGGAAGACTAGCAAGTATAGCAAAAGACCAGCTTGGCTTAGCAGAGAACTCCTTAGTAAGCTAAAACACAAAGAGGAAACTAATAAGAAGTAGAAACTTGGACAAAAAACTAGGGTGGAGTGTAAAAGTATTACTCGAGCATGCAGGGATGAAATCAGGAAGGCCAAAATGCAATTGGAGTTGCAGTTAGCAATGAATGTAAAGGGTTCCTTTACTGAATGATGGAGGCAACCTAGTGACAGGATGCAGTAAAGGCTCTGCATCCCCTCTATTCAGCAGTAGTGAGGCCACAGGGTTTTGGACCCCAACTAGAGAAAGGATGTTGACAAATTGGAAAGAGTCCAATGCAGGGCAACAGAAATAGTTAGACGGCTGGGGCATATGACTTATGAGGACAGGATGAGGGAACTAGGCTTATTTAGTTTATGGAAGAGGAGACTGAGTTGAGATTTTTTTCTTTTCAGGTAGTTGAAGGTTTTTTGAGGAAGTATTGTTTCTAAACTAATGAGTAAACAGAAGAAGACACATTATGAGTGTTGTGCCACAGATGCCACTTTTGAAGAAGCTCATCAGCAAAAGAGCACAACTGCAAAAAAAGTATAGGCACTCAATTTCAGTTTCACTTACAACCAGCTTTGCAATGTAAACATCTTGGAGGAACTGGAACATCTGGGATCATATATAATCTCCATTTTTAAGCAGAACTCTTACACTCCAGTACATTCAGTGGAGAGTTCTGTTTAAAAATCAAGGACACAACAGGGCAAAATTTACCAAATTTATGCAAGTGCTCCTACTTCGTGTCAGTAAGATATTAAAAATGAAGGACCATATTAGTAGCTGATGTAAACTGTTATTACAATGAAACTTGGCTGATTTACCCCAGCTGAAGATCTGGTATGAAAATTCAACTTCTGTTTTAATTCAACTGTGAATAACCGTGTCTGCATGTACATATATATGCAGGAGTGTAGGATGGGTGCATATTATATGACAAGTGAACATATATTAATGTTCTGAACAGTCAAAATAAAGGTATAAATCTAAAACAGGGAACAGAAGTTGAATTCTGAATTTACTTTGAGAACTGAAAGGCATGGGCAAAGAAATATTGCTTATGTTCCAGGGAAAACTTGTTCATTTACTTAAATAACCTCAAAGTGAGCCTCAACACATGAAAGATCTGCCATAATTGATCTGCTTAGCCTCTGTCGATCTAACTTCTCAAAAAATCACTAAAAAATGGAATATCCATTGTGTATTGTTGATTGTATAACATAGGCACAAGTGCAACTAAGTAATTAAGCACACAATTAACTTTAAGCGATTGAATACTCCTATTGAAGTCAATGAGATCGCTTACCTACTTAAAATTTGGTGTTTAACATGAAACATATGCTTAAGCCTATTCTTGATCAGTGCTGTTTAACTTATCCATAGAGCACCTGATTTAACGAGACCTAAGCACATGTATAAAATTAAATATTACAGTTCTTTGCTTTATAACAGCTATATGGGGTGCAATTCTATGAGACACTGAACACTTTGGACCTAATCTTGCAAAACACAAACTCAGGTTTAACTTTACACATTCAGTAGGCTACTGAAATCAGTTGGACATCGATCAATTTGTCAGTATTTTGCATGATGGTGCCAATAGAGAGAAATTGAATAAACAACAAAAACACTAAAGATAATTCCTAAAAGTACTTTGTTCATTCATTTTTTAAATGGAATTTAGTTTAAATTATTTATAATAGTATTATTATTTATACTAGTATTATAAAATATACTGAAAACATATGGATTGATAAATATGTGGAAGTAAAGAGGTCACTGTAAAATAAGGCTTCGTTGCTCAAGTCTGGTATTTACTGTGGAGAAATGAATAGTGCCTTGCTAGTGTAAAGGCTGCAGATGAGAAACTTTCTGAAGTACTTGTTTATTAGCAGCATCAGACAAGAGCACTGTGGCTCAATTCTTCTGCACTGCCATCTGTTTAGCTTGAAAGCATGATGTTAGTGAGGATCCTCCTGTAGCTTAGAGCTTTTGTATCACTTGCCTGCAGGCAAGACCAGAAATAAGGAAGCCTGAAATGGACTCATTCTATTAACCAGCAGACTCCTAACTCTTGTACCAATCCCTTGGTGCTGCCTTGTAAAAAGGGGCAGCCTTCAGCTGTGGGGAATCAGCTATAAGCAGGCAAGCATTGAGGTGGTTTAAACCCACATTTTCATTGCTTTTTCTACATCATACTCCTCAGCAGTACCTATGAACCAGAACCTTAATATATGGTAGGGAAGTGAAAAGCAGAAGGAGAAATGATTGTGAGGGCGAAAAAAAAGACTGAATGTTTTCCTCTTGGTAAACAATACAGTAAAAGCTGTGTTATCCAGCACTTTACCATCCAGAATGCTCTATTAACTGGCATCTGTCATTAACAGCATCTGTTGTTTATGGCAGTGGATCAATGTGGCAAAAGTGAAACCGGAAGTCCCACTCTGGCACTTCCGGTTTCAACAAGTCCCACTTCTTCCTTGAGGACCACGGCCCGAGGCAAGGCAGCCTGCACAGGGCCCCCCTCCCTGTCCCTTGGCACACTGATGCCAGGGAGTGAAAGCCCTGGCGCACTGGCAAAGACGCCTCCAACCTGCTGAAGATAAGCTCTCAGATAACCAGCATATTTAATTAACCGGCACCCCATGGATGCCGGATAACAGAGCTTTTACTGTATATGCACAGCCTCCCAACATGATCAACCCTAAAGTGGTAAACTAGCATACACATGGTAGATGGCAAACAATTTCAATAAACAGGTAGAATTCAGGTTCATACATTCATAATACTGTTACAAACACAGAGAAAAATAAACACGATGTAAATAAAAATCCTACATGGAGCAACTGTATCATTACGGTAAATTTCATCACTTCAATGTTATTATTATTCATTTTAATTAGCTTGAAACAGTAAGTGCAACTTGTACCAGACTGTACCACCCACTTCATCTGGGTTTTCCTCAATAATGGCATTCTACTAAAGTGAAGGAATTCAGTCAGCAATAGAGCCTACTTATAGCAATACATCTGAAAAGTTTTTAAATTATTTAAATTCTGAAACCTAATATTTGCCCAGCAGCAACAAACAAAGGAAAGAAAAAACAGTACCGGTTACCTGGGCATTTGTACTAATATTTGGGAAGGAAACAATGTTGATTTTTTCATATTACATTGCACTGGGCAGATTTTCAGACAAGACATAAAATTAACTATACGTGTTCTCTATCTTTTTCTTTGATTGAGTTTCACAGCCAAAAACTGAGGCACTTTGTAGCCATTCTTCCAAGACTATAGACGTGGCCATAAAGTGCTTCTTAAAAAATAGAGGGGGGAGGGGGACAAAGCAGAAGTTGTGCTTATAGTCATGAGTTTAGACTTTGTCTTTCAAAGATATGACTTTAACAGGTAATGTTCCATCTGTTATATAGAGTAGTCCTTGAAACATAAAGAAAAGAAATCACATGATAGGGCAATAGTCACTATAACACGATCATTTCCTCACTGTCAAATAAAGCTTTTCCTTGAATTATTCCTTTGAGTCCTTGGCTCCTTTCTACTTCCACTTGTACACTCAAAACACAAAAAAAATATGCTTCATAGCTCTACCCATACCCTAAATCCTCTTATTTATAATCGTAGATATATATATATATATATATATATATATATCGCTTTCTCTATATATCACTAATCCACATATGGTTAATTAAAAAGAGCTGCACCCCATGGAACGCATATGAAAACATAATTCAATAAACCTGTGCTTCACCTTAGAAAGTGTGTGGAAATATAATTCTTGTTAGAAGGAAACAGTTCTAGTTGCTTTGTTTATTGTTTGCTTGGTTTTAGTTATAATTTATGTTTCAAACAGTTGTTACTACTTTTGCTAATGCAAGCTGTTAAATTCTCTGAGTGAACTGCCATCTTGACTAGGAAATAAGGTTCTGAGGAGGAGAAACAACTGAGCAATAAACTTGTACAGTGAGAAATGGATATTTTTCAAATTTAAAAGACAAAATTAAAACAAGAAAACTTGTAACAAAAAATCTTGAAATCCATGAACAAAAATTACTGCCCTCAGTCCCAGTAACAGGTCTTCTTTGGCACTTGAGAACGATCACAAGTAGTTGCCTTTTTATTCAGATAGAACAAAATTTACAAAGTCATTCATACATTTTGTTTTTTGTTTTTTTTTTGTTTTGTTTTGTTTTGTTTTTTACTGACTTCGAAAATTGGGAATATTCAAAATACACTTTTACCCCACTTCATTCTTTCATTATTTACAGATATGTACAAGAAAAATGTAAGAGTTTTGTTTGTTTTAAATTTGTATTAAAAAGCTCTGCTGGTTGTTTTTTGTTTGTTTTCATTATATGGATGTTCCATGGGAAGGCTCCATAGCTTCTGGCATGACTCCCCCTGGCATAGACTGAAATGACATTGGAATGGGTGTTTTCACAGGACTCTGACGAAATAGTCCTCCATTTGGTGATCTGTGTTTACACTGTATAGAGGGCATGGTGGCTGAGCTGCTAAGGGGCAGTGGCAGGTTACTACCAGAGGCAGCTGTGAGTGTCCTGCTGGCACCATGACTTGTCTGTTCTGGCAAAAAGGTCGTGACAGAAAGTTGTGTGTTCTGATATTCACGTACTGGCTCCAGGGTCTGACTTGGCTGCATACCACCAATCTCCAAGGCTGAAATTTCAATAGATGCTGGAGAAATTTGCTTGTGAGCTATGTCTTCATCAATTAAACTGTTCATGCGTCTGTGGACCTGCTCCAGATTTACTTCTTTATCCTATTGAGATAAGAACAATGTAATCAGGACAAACAAAATGATCTCTTTCTTTCTACCCCCAGCTTTAAGTAACAGGAAGAACTGGTATTCATCAGCTTGCGCTGATTTTCTGTTTGCCTAAGCAAAAGCTATATGCAATTGTAACAGCTCAATCTGATACACCATTACCAAAAAAATGCCTCAAACCAAACCAAAATGAACACAAAAACCAACAAACCAACCCCACTCCCTCCCCCCAAAAAACCCCACATTAATTTTATCCCAGAAAAATCTGAACCCCTTAATCTACTTATACAGAGAGAGAAAAACAAGGATCTGGTTGAACTGATAGGTGGCGTGGGACAGCAACATTTCCCTCAGGCTCCTAGGTTCACCCATGAAATCTCAGCATAAGTTTAAGATAAAAAAAATAAATCCTGTTATCATTGGGTGCTTGACTGTGCAGTTTTTACTGCACAGTCATTTAGTACTTGCTTACCTCAGTACTAAATAACTGAGCAGTAACTGCCAGTACTGCACAGTGCCAGCACCACACAGGTCATTTCTGACTCTATTGTGCAGTAGCAATGAGCTTGTTGCTATTGCACAGTACCAGTGGCATCACAGTTCATGCCTGCCAACACTATGTAGCCATAAGAACAAACTATATTACCATAGCTCATCACTACACAGACATAGCATCTCATGTAGACATGCCCATTGAGAAGAAAACCAAAAACATGAAATGAGTATAATGCAGGGATGTCCATGAATCAGCAGCGTGTAGAACATTAACTCTCCTCTATATCAGCTTTATTCAGTCATCTCAACAAGGATTTAACTTGGTGATAGTTAATTAAATATCAACTTTTCCAACTATTTCATTCTTTACTTAGGAAGAAAAAGGACAAGAATCAAAGAGGTATTCAATTTGCTGGAAGTGATGACATCATATTTATGTGCAATGGGTTGGAGTCAATTGAGGAGCTACAGTTATGACTTTTTCCTGAGTCAGGAAGGAGCTCAAGGAACCTAGCTAGGCCATGGGCATATTCAAGCAATATTAAGGGTATGCTATGCCCAGAGAGCACATTCACAGTTTGAATGGCTTCATGGTCTACTGTGAGCAGCATCTCATTTTGGTAACTGTTGGTTGGAGGTTGTGTAGTGAACAAAGCTTAGAAGAGTACTACCATTATTGTTGTTGTGGTGGTGGTGATGGTGGTTGTTCCCCATTTCAATGCTGAATAAGAACCCAGGAAATACATAATGTATGAAATGTGTCAGTCAGAACAAAATAAGGAGTTAGTTGCCCCCCCCCCCACCCCCACCCCCAATGAACTTATTTTGGTGCTTTCCAGTAGCCTAACATATTGTACTTGCAATGGCAAAACACAAGTAAATATGTGGTCTCTAAAACAGTCTGTTTACCAGATCAGTGCCACATTCTCAATAGTTGGCATGGAAAGCAACATAAGTTAAGACCAAATTTAAGCTTAATGAAGGCATGTATGTGGGTTTTAGTAGCAAGTGCTATACTGACATTATAATATAATGGCAATTTTGTATTATTTCCCCATATTTCACAAGGCTGATTCACAATATTTAATGTTTTCAAAGTACAGTTCTTGGTTACTTAAACTTAAATTGAACACTGCTCTAGAAACAAATCATCCATAAACCCAGCAGGAGGTTCTACATATCTAATAGAATCCTACAGTGTTAATGAGCTGATAAAGTGGGCACACCCTGGGGAAAGAGCATCTGATGCTTTTGCCTCTATATAATCTCTGGTTGCCAATGCAATGGTCTGTTTTAGGTTAGTGGCAGCCTCAGAGTTGGTTAGAATCCAGGCAACTACTTACAAGTGTTCTGACTTATGTTAGAGACTAACCCAGTGGCTTTGAGCTTTGAGGAGGGTAGGGGGGTACATCTACATGTGCAATTATGAAGCATGAATAAACTGTAGAGCTTATTGCTCTGGGGTTTCTTGCTCCCAGGCACACTGCTTCAATGTGCACCTGGGAGTAATTAACTCCAAAGCAATAAGCTCCACAGTTTATTCATGTGCAGCATGCGGAGCTGGAGCTGCATCTCCCAGCTCAACATGCTCTGGAAGGGCTGGGTGGAGCACAAGGGAGCTTCAGTGTTGTGCTAGCTTGCAAGCAGCCCCCACAGTGAAGCATCCTCATACCCCAGCCAGTCCCTCCACCATCTATATGTGCACTGCTGTGGAGTTTTTTGCTCCGCAGCAGGATAGTACTTGTATTTACAAGTACTACCCTGCTGCAGACTAAATTAGTTTACTCCAGGCTAATAGGGGCACATGTGTAGAGGACAAGACATTTACTGCACAGCTAATTAGTCAATTGAACAGTAAACATTTCATGTAGACATACCTGGGAAGTGTTATAGTAGCTTGAAGCCACCCACTTCCCATGGTCTGCTGCTAAGCAAAGTTCAGCTAAAACAGAGAATATGGTCTTGTTACACTATAATTTGTGCATCAGTGGCTCTTATTAGCATTCCCTCTAAGTTGTGTGGCATGTGCAGCCACGTAGCCATGTTCATGCCACACGGCCAGGCACACCTGCATGACCACGAACGCCGCACAGCTTAGAGGAAACACTGGCTCCCATGTGTCTTAGTCAAGTTCTTTTAATGACAGAGAAACTCAAATAATTATGTTGAGCCCTGCTTCTGAGAGTAGGGCCATATTTACTTTTCATTCTGTAGTAATATCTGATTGGCCAGTTTCTTAAAGTGCCAGGCCTCAGACAAAGGAACATAATCATTAGCTCAAACATGTGACCCTAACATAAAATATACGCCCATTGAATTCAATCAGAATTTTAGTTTTTTTAAAAGCTACAGGATGAAGTTTCAAAGAACTTATCCAAAGCCTTAGAAATCAGTGGAAGAAGAATGTTAAAAATGTTAATTTACATCAATGTTTGTTTGTTTGTTTTTATTACAAGAACTGAATGTTTTGGCTTACACAAGCTTCCATAGCTGCTCCCAGAAAATACAGTGGAAAAAACATGAAATATAACATAACATTCCAGGGGAAAACATTCTGTCAAATCCTATGTCCATCTCAAATTAGAGAAAATCAACAGGAAAGAATGAAAATAAACTTTAATGACAGAGACCTAATGCATCTTACTTGAGTTTGATATCTATTGTGACTTCATTAGTATAGAGACCCATATAATCAGTTCTATCCTTAGTTGGCAGTCTTTCATTCATTAAACTAGATGCTAGACTAGGGCTAACATACTGAAGAGTCTTTTTCACATACACAGTGCTTGAGTTCTACAGCATTTGTGATGCAAAAGTTTCAAAGGGCATATTATAAGCAAGTACTACTTTGTTAATTTAAAATATGTTTTTTATTTTAATCCTTGCAAAAATGGAGTTTGAGAGAAACAGGAACAGTCATTGGATTGGATGTCTGTGTTACAGCAGCTACCTCAGAGCAACAGCTGTCCTGACTTGTATTCATTAGAACTCTGTGCATGTTCTTTATTGGTCTACCATTGACAGTCACACAGAAGCGTCTGTTACTGCAACATATTATGACCTCTCTGTGTTAACTGTGTAATAAGTGATTGGTGTCATAAATCTAGATACTCGTTATGTCAATTGTTCATGACTTACACTGGATTCTTACTCCCTTCAGGGTGGAATTTAAACATGTTGCTGAATTTAGTTTAAAAGACCTAGGTGACACTATTGTTTTTTTGAGAGATTATTGTTTTTGCTAAATATAGCTTTATTTGGCTGGGAATCTGGAACTAACAGCCCTCAGATTACAGCTGAGAGAATATTGGAAAAAATGTCCCTGAATGTAGTGAAAGTGAATTTTGATCCAACCTTTGTGATGAGTCATTTATGTTCTCTTTGTCTCTGTGAATCAGACCACTTATAAAAAATATCCTTTCAAATGAAAACATACATAAAAATATTTTTATTTATATTGCAGTATCCACAGTCTGTTGCATTTTGCTTCATTAATCAGGAACAGAGTTAACGTGACTTGGGTAACTAACCAAGAAAGCATGGCCAAGTTCCAATATTTGCAGCAAACAAATCTGAACTGCTTGAAAAGGAAAAACATATTTGTGAATGATGTAAAATAAGGAACAGATTCAAAGCACCACTGCTCTGTTTACAAAAAGAAAAGGCAGCAAAATTGAGCATGCAATCTCTTCCTAGTACTATATTCAACTTAATTTTTTAATTCTTTTGAAATAAAATATCAAGAGGCTATAGACAAGAAATGCTCAGTACAGTTTTTTTTTTTAAATTCTTGAGATATAAGACTTGAACGATTATGTAGTCTTGAGATAACTGCCCTCAATGATCTAAGAAAACCTAAAATTATTTTCCTTTACTAGCCAGACTTAGGTTTAATATATATTTAATGTATATTTAAATTTAACATAAAGTTAACTCCAGTATTCTGTCAGCTATAATCTGAGCGCTGTTAGCTCAGATTTCCCAAAAAGAGCAGTGCTAAGCAAAACCAGTAGTCTCTGAAATAACCAGTAGCTCATTAGTTTAGCAGATTTTTTCTCTGAAAGTGAGCAGACAAGTAAGTGCTTGTGTTTATGAGTCTTTGGCTGTTCAAAATTTAACATGGGCTTCAAGAAGGGAAGATCAGGCAAAAATCATTACATTTTGTGCCTACCTTCAGAGGCTTCTTCCATTTGGATCGCTGCATAAGTAAATAAAGAAATAAGCATCCCCTTATCAGATTTATTTGATCCTAACCTTTTGGTGAAAAAATAAATATTAGGGCTAAACTCCTGGCTCTATTTGAGTCAATATGTTTTCTTTTTTTTAAGTTGGGGTTGGGAAAGGCTGCCAGCAAAAATTGGATCATATTCCAATATTAAATGTTCATGACTATCTTAAGAAATTTTTTAAGGACTAAACATGTATAGTCAAATACTTCCTTAAGTCAAAAGAAGCTCAAGACTGCAGTGCTCGTTTATAAAGAGATGAGGATACCTCCA